ATCAAAGTTAAAGTTAAAGGTCTATCACTAGAAGAGTTCTTAAATCTTGGAAACATTCTCTTCCTCTGAATGCCCAAATGGTCCATGAGACCAGATACTGCTGAAGTTATAGTAAACACATATACACATACAAATACTCTTACTATGAGTTACATTCCAAAAGGACTAAACTTGTTAACTAATCCTAAGCCCGAGGCACTTTTAACTAGAATACAGAACATACTCTATCAGAGCTAGGATATGTGTTCTGCATTCCTACTAGCATTCAAAAAACATAAAAATCAACCCTATCTGACAACGTGAGTTAGTTGGAGATGCAACAATACCTGTGAATTACTGTGGCCAATTGCATGTGAGGTGGGATCAAAGAAAAGAGTCTTTAAACAATAATCACCTAGTGACTTTGGTGTACATATTCTCATATGACTGGTGATGGGTCCAATGATATTTCAAGCTATAAAGAGGCAAAGAAGGGGCCCAGAACTCATCTGCCTTAGGGACAGATTAAAGGAGGAGAATACCATCCATCATCCTTGACTCTGGGGAAAAATGACCCAGGAACACGTAACCTAGCAGAGAAAAGTGTTTACAAAGAAAATATACAACTCAGAGCATTTTTAAGGAAAGAGTTTCTATCAGTGTAAAAGACAGCTTTAAAAAAAAAAAATGTCAGCCACAGTACTGCCTGAAAAAGAGAACCATTTTTGGATGTTACTGGAGCATAGGCAATCTTAAATAACTGGAACATGGTCATCCTGGACTGGCATATATTCCTTTTGCTTACTGGTCAGGTGTATTTCTGTATTATCTTCTCTTCCCTCCTGCCCTCTCCCCATCTTCAACACAACTGGGATTCTGTGAGGGCTGGTGTAGGTCTTTCCAAAGAGAGTACAAAGCCATTAAAATGGTTGAAAGGCAACAAAAGTTTGGAAGAGAAAGAAGCTTTTAGGTCACCCCCAAAGCTTTGGAAAATGCCAAGAAACAGGGCATGGGACTTAACATTGAAGCTGCTTGTTTCATACAAGCCAACTTCTGAACATGTTTTTGTTTATCCCCGGAAAGATACATATATTACACAGCTGCTTTCAAAGGACACTTGCCTTTTCTGAAGTCACAAATCACACATCATGTAACACACTTTTACTTGCACTGACATCTAAAGAAGATGTGGGCTGCTGCGATTGGTGACAAAAACAATACTTCCTAGTTAATGAGAAGACACAGAAATCAGTCTTACAGCCAGGGAATCAGAGAAGACATATTCTGTATGGCTTGAAATTACTTTTCTTT